GCAATTTTCCTGAAGCTCAAAGAGCTTAAAAAGGTAGAGAGGTACTCTACATAAATATCAAAGTAAACACTCACTTTGAAAGTGTTTTACATGTTTCCAGGTACATGCAAAAATAGTTTAAAATAATTATTCCAAGTATCTTTCTTGGCAACTTATTTGACACCTTCTGAACTGCACATTTATGTCATCAAATGTTAAAGTTTTCAGTAATTGATGAATATAAATAAGTGTAAAATTACTGTAGATCAAAATAAAATTAATAATGTGCAAATTCTAGGAAATTTCAAGAAATCACAATTTTTATTGTAATGGCCTGTTAAGCCACAAAACAAGAAACCTGATGTTCCGAGCATTTTAGGAAGGTAGACTATAAATCTACCCGAGTTCATTTTAGATATTTATTTTCTTATGGAATCTTACTGAAATGACTTATCTGGATGTTATAAAGACAATATACTTGTATTAAGTTTATCAGCCCATCCCCCAGAGAACTGATATTCAATTATTAACAACTACCCTTCAACACAGCCATATCTGTAAGTATACTCATTTTTCAGAAGTTATATACTATAAGTGATACAGATAATATAAAGCATATGAAATGGTACTTCAAAATAGTACAACTATACAAAACCGTAACCAAAAAATTTATCATGACAAGTACTTTTTTATGCTAGTTAAATCATAAATAAAATATTTAGCAGTTTCTAAATTTCTTTACACATATAACCAAGATAAACTTGTAGGCTATTTTTATTCCTAGCTTTGAAAAGTTATGTTCGGCCAATAAACTAGACAAATTACATTGTCAATGAAGTGATACGGGCATCACAGTATCCAAATTCAAGTAGCTGCTAGACTTAATACAGTATTATTAGACAAAAATTAAGTATTTGTGAATTTCTTGAAACCTCCAAAAGTTAAAACTTAATTCTACAACTTTTTAAAAACATTTCCAATAATTAATAATAAAAAAGTACATTTCTGAATACATGCATTCATAAAACATTGCTGGAAAATATCCTCCTCTCACTAGATTTTCTATTTTCTGTACTGACAATAAACACAATTTTTAAGATTTCCATACCACTTCAAAAAAATATTCCAATTTAGCTAGCTATATTGCTTATGCAATATGTAAAACTCAGAAAGTTGTACAACAAACTTCTTGTCAAGTTTTGTTAACTGAAACTTTGTAAAAATACCTAGTGGTTATTAAAATTTTCATTAACAGCAGTGTCATCTTTAACCTATTTTTATATGTCAATCTGAATGGCTTACAGGAGAAGGCATCGTAAAATTTATTGAACCAAGTTTTCAATCTCCTGTACCAGAAGATGCTGATAATATATGTATTTCTTTTTTTTTTATGAAAGATGTTACAATTCTATTAATTACCAACAACCCTTTTAAATTTTTTTCATAAAATATATTTCTAAATATATTGCCTTTTTAAAAACAAACTTTAGCAACAAGCTTGATTGATTGTTAGTCTACCCTAAAAAGAATTTCACAACTTACTGGTAAAGGTTATCAGCAACTCTACAATCACACTTTGCAGACTTGTATGGTTTACTGCTTCTAATTAGTTTACCTTAACTATACTCTTAAATTATACATAAAAAAATGAAGAACTGGATGGAATTTTGAGACGTCATATCAAGAAGTATATTGGTTCAAGATAGCATCAATGGTATAAGATAATGAGCATTAACACCAGCTAAAGAGACCTATCACAAAAGCAAACTTGTTTATATTTTATGCTGAATGATGAATAAATAATGAATCAAAGAAATACAGCAGAAATAGCACAGATTACAATAAGTATTAACTTTATTAATAAACTCTTTAATTAATATTTTTTGATCAAAAGTGTCTTTTTTTTTCATCAAAAAATACAATTTGATGACATTTAACTACCATTAAATATTAGATGCTTATTTGTATGCCTAAAATAAATGATTAAATTTGGAAAAGTACATAAGTAAGATGACACTTAAACAAAAATAGTTTTCTTAAGAGACAATTAGCTAAGCTCTGAATATTATCTCTTTAATAGCACAGTACTATTGGGATAGTTTCATGGCTGGAAGCCTAGAAGGCAATAAATTATTACAAAAAGAAATCCATATGCCACTTAGTTTCTTGTAAAGAAGAAAAACTCAAAAACACTGGTAATTATATACACAAGTCTATGTACAATAAAATTAAATTTGATCTAAATTTTCTTTCTAGCTTCAAAAAATATGCAATTCAAACAGTTTACTTTGCAAATGCTACTTACTATCAAGGCTACCATTTATAAGCATGTTTAAATGTTACCGTAAACTCACAATATTGTAACATTAACCAACAAAATTAGATTAATAAACTTGTATTACTATTCACCAATATATTCCCTCAACACACCATAAGGCCTGATTAAGTCAGAGGAAGGTGCACAGCCACCAGGTTAAGTTATATCTTAGATGCTATTCTGAGAAACATTGTATTTGTTTAAGAGTACATACTTATAAAGTGAAAATCAACAAAGTTTCAAAATGTTCTTAGTACATAATATTCTCATAACAATCCTGTTTTACTTCAGTTATCAGTGAACTAACCATACATGGACACCAATGTTAACAAACATACTCCAGAACATTCTAATATTACTAATATATCTACTAACAGGTTTGTCAGAAAGATTATTTCTGAAATAATAGTTTTTTGAGATTTAAGGCAAATTATACTGAACAGGATATTACCTGAAATTGAGGCATGATGCCTTAAAGTCAGATATTTCATAAAAAATAACAAAAGAACAAAACCATACACAACAATGCAAATATTTCTGTTTACAAACTAAAGTTTTGTTTAACTATGGAAAATTAGTATATGCAGTGCTCTTTAACTCTCTCCAGACCAGCAGTAGCCCCACCCACCCCTCAATATCCTTTCTTTTTCTTCCTTCTCATGGTGAAAATACAGTGCTTTGCAAAAGTATTCACCCCCCCTACAATGTTTCCATATTTTATTGCTATCTGACTTTGAAATCATGAAACATTTAAATGGGACTTTGTATTTAGAATCTACACAATCTACTCCAAACTAAGAAAGCTAAAAAATTATGTAAGTTTGATTTTCAAAGAAAATTAGAATATTATCAACAGCATAAGTATTCAACCCCTTTGCTACGGCAACCCTAAATCAGTTCAGGTGTAAAACATTTGTTTGAAAGGTCACAAAATTAGTGTAATAGTCTCTGTCTGTGTGTAATCAAAGTGGTTTAACTTGACTTCAGTAAATGCATCTGTTCAAGCCACAACTCATACAAGTCAGGGATAAAGTTGTATAGAGGCACAGATCAGGAGAAGGTTACAAGAAAATTTCAAAGTTGCTGATTATCCCTTTGATTACAGTGAAATCCATCATTATGAAGTAGAATGTGTTTCATACCACCCTGTCACTACCCAGATCAGGCCACTCTTCCAAACTAAGCAGCCGGGTAAGCAGGAAACTGGTTAGGGATGTCACTGTGAAGCCAACAGTGACTTTGAAATACTTACAAAGTTCCATGTGTGAGATGTGATTCAGTGTTCATACAGCAACAATATCCTGGTCCCTGTACAAAGCTGTCCTGTATGAACGAGTGGTAAGAAAGAAACCATTACTGAAAAAAAATCATAGTAAATCTTGTATGGAGTTTGCGACAAAGCATGTAAATAATACTACACATGTGGCAGTAGGTTTTGTGGTCAAATGAGACAAAAATTCAAAGCATTATGTTTGGCACAAGCCCAACACAACACATTACCCAGTCAACACCATCCCAACTGTCAAGTAAGGTGGTGGAAGCATCATGTTATGGGGATGCTTCTCATCAGCAGGGGCTGGGAAGCTTGTCAGGACTGAGGGGAAGATGAATGGTGCAAATTAAAAACAAATCCTGGAGAAAAACCTGCTTGAGTCAGCCAAGAATTTAAAACAGAGTTGAAAATTCACATTTCAGCAGGACAATGAGCCAAAGCACAAGGCCAAAGCCACATTGGAGTGGTTTCAAAATAAAAAGCTGAATGTCCTGGAGTGGTCCAGACAAAGTCTTGACTTGAATCTGATAGAAAATTTGTGGTGAGACTTGAAGATTGTAGTCCAACGATCCCCAACGAATTTCTCAGAATTGGAGCAATTTTGCCAGGAAGAATGGGCAAAACTTACACCATCCTATTGTGCAAAGTTGGTAAGACACCTATCCAAAAAGACTCACGGCAGTAACTGCTGCCAAAGGTGCTTACACAAAGTACTGACTTAGGGGGCTGAATACTTATGTAATTAGCAAATTTCAATTTATATATTTTCTTTGCAGGTTTTGCTGACATTCAACCTCCTTCACACATTAACAGTGTTAAGTTTGATCATTAGGGTTTTGAAAACAAGTTCATTAAAAAAATTGTTTATATTATTTGTATTTCATCAAAATGTGACAATACTGGTAAGTGTGATTACTTTTGCAAGGCACCATACTTAACCAAACTGCATGAAACTAATGACAAACCCACTAAATAATATTTAGTTTCAGCTTTAAAAAAAAATCATATAATTGAATTTGGTCTTTCTGTAACTTATGCTGTGAAATTTTCAAAATTTTGTTGTGAGACACTGTTTTGATAGTATATTGACAATAATTCTTTCATATTAGAATTTAAATGTTTATATTGTACATCACCATGTTCCATTTTATGTATCCAATCATTTTTCAACTTGATTGATATTCAATAACATATTTCTTTTGATAACTTTTATTTTTTGATTGCAGAAGTAATCACTTCTTGCTAAATAGTAAAAAAACACTATGAAAACTAACAAATATTTACTGATGACCAACAACATTACTTGTAACAATGGCATCAGGCTAAGTAACAATACTTTTTCAACAATATTCTTGATTGAAATCAATTTATATCTAATAAATACACTTTCTTTTCAATAAATTATAATTCATATTATGCACATTGTTTGAATATAATAAACTTAACTATAATATTTAAAAAAAATTATTTGAGTCACTGGAATATTTTGCTGTCATCCACAGTACTCTCTAAACCTAATAAGGCTTACCTGATGTTTTGTCACGGAAAAAAAATTCAGGTGCTTTCAAATAATTATATTTTAACATATAAAGAAACTGTAAATATTTCCAGAACTATAGTTTGTTCCAAATTCTTCTAAACTTCCCATAAGATTCCAATGTACTTCTCTGCCTGTATTACGTCATGTCACTTTCCCACAAAACCATAAATTACTTCTTATACCATTTCATTCACTCTGCACTAAAATTAATAGTTTATTATCTACTCTATACAATGGTAATTAAACCTTGCCTTTAGCTATTTAAAAGTAGAGCTACATTTATAGTACTTGTTCAGATCACACAGTGAAAGGTCTTAAAAGAGTGGTAAAACAGACAGCCCTAATAAAAAAAAAATCTTTCAAAGAGAAGGAAAATAGCATGAGAATCAAACCCATGAAAATTGTATTCTCAAGTGATGGCAATTCTGTAAACAATATAAACCCATGTTTTGGGACGAACAGAAACATTCTAAAAAATTGACAAGCATATTGTTTACAAGCAAAGCTTTTTTCTCAAAACTATGCAGAAATTAAGTTAGAAATTTGTCTTTCTGAATTTCACTACAAAATGTTACAAAATGAAAAAATATCAATTCTAAAATATCTCTGAGTAAAAAATTGTTGAAACAGAGTGAGAGTTATTATTTTTACTCGAAGTTTGAAATTTGATTAACAGGTATGCCCTCAATACCTGAAAGATACTCACTGGTCCAGAGAGGGTTAATCTTCTGGCTTTTGTAGCAAAGAACCTGAATTTTACTTTATTTCTTGTGAAATTTAGAGTTAAAAAGCTGTGTAAATATTATATATACACAGAAATGGGGCTAAAAACCCAGAAAATATAATATTAAAAATCCAGCTATGACAAACAAACCTAACAGTTCATTACTGTTTCTACAAAATATGCAAATATGCATAATGAAATATGTACAAGATGATTGGGTGTATTCTCCAATATTTCATATCAGGATACAATGTTGACTGATTTAGTTTTATCCTGGTATGACTTACTATTACTTGGCTTCTAACTTCCACTTCATACTTGTGTACATTTTCTAGCTTCTATCTGAGGTTGAGCCCATTCCACAAAATCATCTATAAGTACAGGCCATGCCCCTAATACAAGGATAATTCAACAGTTAAAGATTTAGACAGGTTAGTTTCAGAAATATTTAGCATCCTATATTTCCAAAAAACATATTTTTATAAGCAGTAACAAAACTTTATTTCAAAACTGACTCATATATGTATCAAAGAAATATTTTAAAGGGTCTGATATGATTTGTTTGTAGTTAAGCACAAAGATACACAATGGGCTATCTGTGCTGTGCCCACCCTGGATATCAAAACTGGTTTCTAGCATTGCATGTCTGCACACATACTGCTGTGCCACTAGGAGGCTTTAAAGGGTCAACCTGACTGACTATTTAGTTGTGGAAAATCTATAACTTCTACATACATAAAATATTCTGTTATAAAAATTATTCTTTTGCACTTAGAAACAATACTTATGATTTAAAACAGTAATACTGTTAACTGCAACAAAGTGACCAAAAAATATAGGAAAACCAGATTTTAGCAATTCTCCTATAAAGATCTACAAAGTGCAAATTTGGCCTTAAATTATAGTACAAAGCTCCCCCAAGTTAAATATGCTGACATTTTATTATGAAACAAGTCTCATACATTCACCTCAAACATACATTATGGCAGAGGCTCAGCACTGTTAATGCATTTTTATTTTACAAAATAAAAAAAAAAGTTTGTATGTGTCCTAACCAAATGCAAGTCCAAGGAAAACATATGATTTTGAAATTATTTCGTTATAAATAGCCAAGCAACAAAAGTAAGCATGTTGTTACATTTTTCAAAACACGTCTACTTAAGCGTATGCAACAGAGTGCAGGAAGTTTATTATTACATCCTACCAGTAAAACATCATTTAAAATATAGTACAGAATATGGCACAAAAGGTTTTCCAAGGGATTTATTGTGGTTGTACATCAGAGATATAATGGTAAATTAAACATCTGCAATGTCAAGACAAATTCCAAGGTAAACTCTGCACACAAACAGGCTAATGTGCTGACACTACTGCACCATGAAAAAATACAATCTTTGTATGGAGTTGATGCCAGTAAGATCCAACTTCAACAAAACAAAGCATCCTGCCACACAACATGGCAGTTCCTCCTCTAGACAAAAGTACAAATGGGAATTTCTGTAATATCATTTACAGACATGCTGACCTAATCATCATATGCCTTGATGTTTCTCAAATAGGACCTCAGTAGCCATCCTTTACACATGGTCGATGGAGTCTGGAAAGCGTGTAAAATGAGTGTGCTAAAGAAAAGTAACCTTGATGATTTCTAAAATAAAGGCTTCTGATATGGTCACTGCACTGCCATCACACAGAGCACATCAGTGATGAAAAAGAGGCCTTAAAGTGCTGTTGAAAATCTTTGTACCATTACTATATATTGCAAACATACACCCCACTTCATATATATATATATATTACTGGGCCTATTATCTACATTGCACAAAAATACAATACCCTATAAACCAAGTGCTTTTCAAAGGGGAACCTTTTTTCTTCAGGAGCAAATTGGGAATGACCATGTAAAGCAACATGTGAGATAAAATGAAGTTTGAATGATATCACACAAATCCAGAAGTATTTTCAGTAGCTTTCAATGTATTGTTTTAAGTGTTTCTCATTTCCAGTGCAATGATAATGGAAGCAAGAATGTTAGGTATAAAGAAGTTAAAGATGTATTGTTTTAAAAAGAAACCTGGTCAATAGAATCTAAACTGAGTGTTGATAAAGTGAGATATGAAGATTGATTAAGAAAGGAATGATAAACAGATATATAATTAAACAAAAAGGAATCCTTAATAGCCACGGCACTTGAAATTCTTTCAGGCAGGGTTAGAGTAAATTAATCTACGAGACCTTTGTTTCCCTTTTCATTAGCTATATTTTCATGTGCCAGCAATACAAAGCGTGGGGAGAGCGTATACCCGATTCAATTTTCTTATTCATCAGGATCTCTACCAGCCTACCCTCAAATTGAAATTCTTTTAGGCAGGATTAGAACAAATTAATCTACGAAACCTTGGGCATGGTCAAATACACCAATCAAAAGGGTTTGACCTCCTGAGTTGAAAACTGTAATTAGATCTCAAATCAGTCAAGAGATGACAGAACTATGAGCTAAAAATTTATACTTGAAAAAAAAACAAAAAATACTCATCCACAACTAAAAATAACATGAAAATTATCATACATAAATAATAAGTGTTAGTATCTAAAGGTGTAATCCAATAGGCTTTTATTATCTCTCCATCAGCTTTAATTTTGAAATGGGTTTCAATGCCAATGATTGTTACATCATTAATAGAATGACCAGTTTGATTAAAGTGTTGGGCAAGAAGGATGGTCTTTTTTGGTGTTTATACTGTATGAGGTAAATGGAAATTTGTGTTGTGCAAGTAATTGCTTTAGAAATTTTAAAGTGTTTATGGTCATATTTGTCAGAAAAAAAAGAGTCTGTGTTTTAATAAACTTGCAGGTTAGACAATGAGCTTTATCTCTTTTATCTTTATCACTTTTGCATGAAGAAGAATATCTTTAAGACTTCTCCTCTTCCAGAAAGAGACAAAGGGAACTTCAGTAAATATGTGTCTAAGGCAATCATTCAACTGTAGAAGATGAAAATGTTTTTCAGAATGCAGGAAACATTGCTAAGTTGAAAGTGATAGGTAATAAAAGGAATTCTGTTTGAAACCTTACTATTACACTGTTTTAGGATGGTTTTTCACTTAGTGTTGTTAGTTTTTCAATCTATCTGTCTTGCAAGTGCACATGTAATCCACTAAAGTTATAATTAGTTATGGAATGTCACTTTACATTATTCACGTTTTCTTTTATACCTTGACAGTTTCTTGAATTCCAACTTCTGTCAAAACAAAAAGTATGCAAATCCCCAAAATCAGTGTTAAGGCAAGGCATGACCTGTTAGCAAACTGGCAATTTCACACTTTAACATTAAAGTCAGAAAAATCTTTGGCACATCACTATAAGTAGGTAACCTTTATCACACACATGAGAGGTAGAGAATCACACTATGTTTAGTGTGTGGAAACAAGTATCATTTAAAGTAGAATAAATACTGAAACTTAAAATATATTTTCCCTAGTATATTTATAGTTACAATGAAATAAGAAATTCATATTTCATTATGTCTTAACAAATATTTTATTTTAATTTCTAATTCTACTTAATAATGAAAAATTATGTTGCATTCATGCATATATGGTAAACTGTGAAAAACAAACACTGTTAACATTCACTGTCAATAAAGGAATAATTGAATGGTTAACTTACACAAATATCAAAGCAAAGAACTATACAAAACTTAGTCCATATTAAGTAAAGAAATCTTAAGTTTCACAAATATACACACAAGTTACACTGCTACAAGTTTTTACACCATCATAATATACACACAAGTTACACTGCTACAAGTTTTTACACCATCATAATATACACACAAGTTACACTGCTACAAGTTTTTACACCATCATAAAATATTCAATACACTAATACATTTTATACTGCAATAAACCATTAAATAAATACTTATTTAAAATAGTTAAAATTAACTCTCTAGGTATAAAAAACCTTACCTTCTTCATCATAGTTGCTCATTTCATCATCAATCATAGTACTAAAGTCAAGTAAAAGATTCCATGTGTCTTTGGGAATAGCTCTTTTGTGGTGTTCCTAAACAAGATAAATTTAATAAACATTCTCACACATATATTATTTTTTCTAGGTACAATACAAAAAACTTAAACAACTGATTAACAAAGCATGTTAGCTTTTCCTTTTATATCATATCACTGAAATTAATTATTAGCTGATATAACCCTCATTTTCCTGCTATGATATGGCTGTAAAATCTAAAAACATTCACTGCTAAAGATCTGTTGCAGTTGTCAGAATCCATACTACTTCTGGCCTTGAAATAATACCACTTTATATATTACAAAAGTTTGATTCTCAAACAAACAATACATTCAATACTATCTCCATTCTTTGAAATCTTAATACTTTAGGAGTTGATAACACTCAACTTTACAAAAAAACAAAAACACCCAAAAACCTTAATCTTAACTAAAAGTTCAATTTCTCTATTTTGCAGTGATAGTTTATTTTTCTTGCATATAGATAAATGAAAAATTAAAAACTACATATTTATTTACCAAGTTATAAGAGAAATATCAAAGTCAACTGATAACTTTAATATCAAACTAAACATTAATACTTTCACGGCATAAGTGATTTCTCTAATTATGTAATAGGAACATGAAATGCTGCTAATTTTATAGCCTTACATTATGACAGAATGACTGCATTGACAGCTTTCACTTCAGTGCACCACTAGTGGTATATAACATCCTGTCTTTACACATTTAAACTTTGGCCAACATGTGCCACTAGTAGAGTACACTATGATTTAAATAATGTCAATCACATCATCATAATATTTTTTTTTTCAGAGTAATTTTGCCATTTTTTTTATAAGAATTATGA